TATTACTATCTGCTTTCCTTCATGCTTCAACATCTTTCTAACACCTAGGAATTATTTTTCCAGGCACTGACAAACCTCAGATTATTGTCACTGGTACTGTTTTTCGTGAAGACGACGCCCCTCCATATCCCTCCTCTGTTCTGCTCCATCACGCTAGTTCCTTCCTAGCCTTGAAGCACAGTTGTCACCTAGGACTTCCCTTCAGCATAACTTTGCTTTGTAACTCTTGTTTCTGGATCCCATGTCTTTGTTGGATTTCTCCTTCATTTTGACAGAGCACGAGGCTCCAGGAGTTTGCAAAAACAATGCCTGCAATGTAGTTTTTGAGTTTTGATTGTTGGATAAGGCTTTCATTCTACCCGCCCCACTTCATCCTTGACTGTCCATTCACACTGAAGTTGAAAGAACTGGAAAGAGGCCAATAAGCTTGGTGCATGTGGGTGGAGACTGTCAGAGATGAAGTTTTCTTTGTAAGATGTCAGGGATCCTACAGGCTTTATTTAATTTGTTCCCCATTGGTAAATTGTCCATGCTCGCTGTGTGGGGATCATTCACGTAGGGCCCTTTAGATCCCGCAGAGTAGAACGCTCCACTCTCCTCCCTGCACTTGGGGAGCCAGTGGACTGAGGGGCTCTCTGAACCACCCTGCTCCCTGTAGCCAGCCTCCTGTGCCCTCCACTGTGCCTTGTGTCCCTGTGCTGCAGTTCTGTCTCTCCACCAAGAAACCAACCAGCCAAACAAAACCCCAAACTCTGCACTGAGGGAGAGTGAGTGAGCCCAGGGGTGGTGGGCCGGCTCTTCAGAGTGGAGTGGGCCTTGTTGATTCTTTCAGAGAGCTCACTGTGTATCATTTTCCACCCCCCACAGGAATTCCTTTACAATCTGCTTTCCTCTGCTGAGCTCAATCAACCTCCACCTGCTTTCTGTTCTCCCCTTGTGTAGAGAAAGAGATGAGCTTCTGTTTTTATCTTTTCCATCTCTGTTCTCTTGGCTCAAGGGTCAATATGCTTGTTTCTTTCTTTCTTTAACATTTTTATACTGAGGTTTTGGAAGGGAAAGAAAAATCATCATGCTTAGTCATTTCTCTATGCGTAGCTGTAAGTCCATGGTAGAGGATTTCAACTTGTGAAAAAAATCTATAATACAAAAACTCAAAACAAGAGGCAGTCAATCTATATCCAGTCCAGATAGAAGGCAGAAGCCTACTCACGCAGCCCAAAGTGAGCGTGCCCTTTCAAAGTCTTCCAGAAGATGAGTCGTGACACCTTCACTGAACAGGAAAACCCCAGCCCTTCTGCACCCAGACGACTTTCGCACACTTGTAGGTAGTGCTGCTGGCCCAGACTCGGCAGCCAGGGAAACCAGATGGCTTTCAGGCACTGAAAAATCACTGCTCTTCCTGCATTCCGGTTTCCAGCCATGGTCCCTCTCTCCTTCCTGGCATAGCGTCCTTTCTTGAGGTCAGAAGCATTTCTGTCTGTTACTAATCTCTTCTGGCTATGGGCTCTGCATTACTGGTGGTCAGCACTGTTTTTTGGCTTGTCTCTTCTGTTATGGAATGAAGGCCTTGGCCTCTGATGCACGGAATGGTAAACAGGAAACAGAAAGTCAAGCTAAAGGAAGCTCCAGGGGTCAAAGATGTCTTTCCATGTGGACCCTAGAGTTGGGTCCACAAGAGAAGTCACCTCTGGGATGTCCAGCTCTCTGTTTAGCCTTAAGTCACATGACACAACGAAAAACAATACGGTATGCTCTATGATGACCCATTAGAGTCTGGTAGATGGTTGAGTGAACTTCTTAGCACCAAAGTAGTATGTCTTGCTATGTAGTCTGGGAGAGTCAGCACGCATGACCACTCTTCTCTAAGCAGGGGCTCTGACTCAGATGGACATCAGGATTTCCCCGGTCTCTGTTGTAGACACACGTCCAGACTTTACCCTGGGAGGTAGTCAACGTCAAAGCACCTGTGTTTTGAAACTACTCTCCAGGAAGCGTGCTCTAAAGAACTATCTCTAAAGTGAAAAAGGCAGCACAGTATAACAATTTCAAAAAAATAAAACTCATGACACTTGGTTGTAGGTCCTGGGCCCAGTTAACTTGCTTCTCTCATTAATAGGGAGACCATATAATTTATCATTCACATTATGAGAACAAGAGAGCGAACTATTAATAAGTACATCAGGACAAGAGGCATAAATTGAGACTATCCGGACAAACGGGTCACCCTACTCATTAGTCAAATGAGAGATTGGAGTAGACAACTCTGAGGTCCCTTTCAGATTTATGATTCTATAATTTATGACACTGGGGACAGGTGCAAAATATGTTCTCATTCCAGGCACGTGCAGCACAGAATCACTGAGGCACCTTCGCCACTCGAGGAAACTGAAATGAGAAATCACACAGCTTGGAGGTTGAGACCTGACAACATGGAAGGCAGAGGGGCCAGGTGTGTGACGCAAACAGGACTGGCCGGTTCTTTTTGGGGACGAAAGTGCCAGAAGGCATGAGTCAGGCTGGGCAGATTTACAGTTAGGGTGATTCGGAGGCAGCTGTGTTGCCATCAGAGTGGCCCAAGGCTACACACGAGTGCTGTTTGAGATCTGACACTTACACGCATTGCTGCATCATATTCCAATATGAGATTCTGAGACACACACATTTCCGAGTGATCCTCCAATATGCTACACTAAGACTTTGTACAGCTGTTCCTTAGTGCCTCTCTGCTATCAGAGCACAATTAAGGAAAAGGGTATTTAGGTTAATCTAATGATCTGGTTGATTAGAAATTGGTGTATAATTCCTACAAATAACCACATTTCTAAGAATCAAAATATAATAAAATATCAAAAACATCCCTGACAAGCCACCCAAACTCTGATCATCACTCTGTATTGTGATAATGAAGATCATGTCCCATGGTAGCTATGAAAGTCCAGCCTAACAGCATCTGAGCGTCAACAGTTTTGATGAACACAGGAGACTTCAGTTTGGTTTTTATGACCTTTTTTTTCTATTGTGTTTATGTTGTTGTTTATCAGGAACGTGTTGGTGAAAATCTTTAGGGAGATACATTGGGACGTCGTGTAGCTGACAAGGGCATCTCGCTATAATTTCAAGGAAGCGGCTGAACTTGCTTGTCGGTGCAGTGTTAGGTATCAGAGAAATTGGCAGAGATGTGGGGAGAGAGGCACACAGAAAGAAAGAGAAGAGAAACAGAAGGAAGCAGGAGAGGGAAGAAGGAAGAAAGAGGGAGAGGAAGAAGGAAGGGGAAAGGTGAGAGGGTTAAATATACCAACAGAGAAGCAGCTAGAAAAACAGAAGAGACAGAGGGAAGAGGAGACAGTGTATGTGAAAGAAGTTAGACACAGGCATCTATAAGTGCACACTCACACACAAATACACACACACCTACACACACACACGTGCATCTTTGGGGAAAAGAAAGGAACTCCTAGAGTAGAATTTTTAGTCAAAACTTCAAGTCTACTGGGATACAGTTGCTGAAGCTATTTTGATGAACACAAGTCAGTGCATTTCACATAGATTTCAGCTCCTGCTGTTTGGAAGGAAATTGCTCACTGGGGCTGAGCTTTAGGGGCCTCATCAGAGGGACTGGCATTGATGGAAAACTCCTTGCCAGCGCCCCAGGTCGAGGCCAGCTGATTGTGAACAGCACTACCCCCACAACTGTGGCACTGTCATCTCTTTGTTAGAACCCATGCCCTGCACGCATCCGGGATGTGCACAGGCTTAGCCCAAGATTAGAATTCTGTTGGCTGCAAAATGGTTTCATTTTTTACTAATTCTTACCTTTGGCCATGAAGAGCAGCACAGCTAGGAGAAATTGCTATTGTCTGGCTAGAAGTCATTTTCAGAGAGCCTTGGAGAGGGGGCCTGCTCCTGAGGGAAGGCAGATGGGGAAAGCAGCCAAGACATTGTCATTTGGCTCATCAGGTGACACGGAGTAGCGTGGCCAGAGAGCCAGCATGAAGCTGGAGGCTACAGGAAAAGCTTTGGAAATAAATGGCAGAGTTGCTTTCACCTGAGGAATACTGGGCATGTGTCCTTGGCTTCCCTGCCCTGGAAGATGGACAAAATGGGCAGAAGAAGGTCTGGAGTGGGCCCATGGTAAGAAAAAGAGAACAGAGGACTGGGCAAATGGGTTAGGCTGGGATCTTCCGTGCAAAGCAGCAGCTGAGGATTATGGGATGGGTCTCAGCAACAAAGGAAGGGTAGGGGCCTATGCTTCGGTAAAAAGCCACCACCTGCAGTGCCGGCATTCCATGTGGGCACCAGTTGGAGTCCCGGCTGCTCCACTTCTGATCCAGCTCTCTGCTGTGGCCTGGGAAAGCAGTAGAAGATGGCCCAAGCCCTTGGGCCCCTGCACCCACATGGGAGACCCAGAAGAAGCTCCTGGCTCCTGGCTTCAGATTGAGCTTAGCTCTGGCCCTTGCAGCCATTTGGGGAGTGAACCAGTGGATGGAAGACCTCTGTCTGTCTGTCTCTCTCTCTCTCTCTGCCTCTGCCTCCCTGTAATTCTGCCTTTCAAATAAATAAATAATTTTTTTTTAAAAAGGAAGGGTAAGGAGGGAGTACCTGGGCTTAATCACAAGATTCTTGGGTAATAATGAGAAAAAGGTATAAAGTAGGGATTTCCATAGCAAACACTCAGTTCAGAAAACTTGTAGATGAATGGACTGAAAACTCTCAGGGGCAATGTATGATGAGAATATAAAGTAAAAAGAGACTTTCATCTCTAATGTTTTATACTTCTACAGCTCTGTGGCAGCTTAGTATCTCATTGTGACTGCTCATTTGTTGAAGACAGGGACCCAACCTTGTATGTCTTTACATGCCCAACAATATATAGTGATCAATAATCTGGTAAGTAATTATTGATGTAGTCATTGGCTGATGGATGCTGAACACCCCTAACTCACCGACGACTCGATAGATTCTCATGACTTTGAGCAAGAACTGTGCCTTTAGATTCAAGCTAGTGGAGGATAATTTATCTCCACCACTTTGGCTTTATCCTAATACCTACCCTAGAATATGGGTAGTTTACTCAATAACATTTGGAGACCACGGAGCAAGAAAAAAGTGTCCTGGAAGTGACTTCAATACATTTCTGAAACAGCCAGCATAGTCCATGAGAGAGCATTTTTGGATGGTTCCATTGGAAGAGCTGCGTAGGTGATCCATGATGCATTGAGGAAGATGCTGTGGGTCTACCACGAACGTCTCTGAACCAGAGGCTTATGCGTTCTTGTTAGGCTTCATGCCATTGTAATGTTTCTAAAAACAGAAGATCACTCCACATTTGCTTGGTTGGTGAAGATGTTCAGGACCTGGAGTGAGAAGGGGTTGGGGGAGTATGAGATTGAAATATTGGGCTGCAGCAATCTGGTGTGGATGTCTGTCTGCTGTCTCCTCCGGCCCCTAGCACTTCTCTGCCCCAACATGTGCCAGCCCTCCAAGTAAGGTTTGTTTGACATTGCCATAGAGAAGGAAGCCCCCACTTCACAGAGGAGAAAACCGACATCCAGGCCAGGAAGTAAAGCTAAGCTGAAGGTAAGCAGTGAACTCACCGCACATCTCAAGCCAGAACTCCGCCTATTGCTGCATCGCCACTCTGTTGCTAGGCAACACTGCTTTGGATTTTTGGAGTTTGCTGAAATTCTAAAGCAGGTCGTTTAAATTGATTTGTGCATTTTCAGCTTTCACAGAGGAAAGAGCAGAAATGGGATGGTTAAACACTGATTAATACTCTTCTAGATATTCTCTACTACTGCCTGTCCCCCAAGCGTCTTTGCAAGAATGCCTGGGCAGGGAGAGGAAGTATAGGAGGAGAGAAAGGAGGGGGCCACACAGTGGGAAAGTGGAGCACGGGGGCCTCCCAAGGGCTTCCTCCCCGCTCCGTGTTAATTCTCAGCAGACGCCTAGTGCACTCTCAGATTCCCTGGCCAACCTTCTTTGCTGACTATTTTGCCTGAGAAACAACAATAACAACACATTGTGTCTGTGTGGCAAATCACTTCTACACCCACTACTAACATGATCTTTACAAGGACTGTGTGAAGGAGTAAGGCTTGCTCAGAATAAAAGTTCCGGGCTGCAGCAGCTGTCGGCTTCACCAGCATCAGTGCAGAGCCCACTGGAGGCCACCTCCTTCTGCCCTTGTCTGTGCTCTTCCCATAGTCCTGGTCTCCCTGCACTCGTGTCTCTGCACTGCCTGGTTGATCCCTCTGTGTCATTGTCAGCCCTCAGCACTCCCACCCGCCTCTGCACAGCTGAGTGAGGAGTCCCTCGACTCCCAATTCAGGTGCTACTTCCTCTCTGAAATCCCCTCTAAGCACTCTGGCCCTCCTTTGGTCCTGGTCCCAGTCTGCTCAGGTGGCCCAGGTCTCAGATGGTCTGCATTGGATTTCTAGATAGCTTCTATGTGTTCATGGCTGTCTCTCTTGAGCAGGTGGATACAACATACATTGATTTATCCAAAGAGCCTCACATGGGGCCCACCCCATTGTCAAAACTGGTTGGTGGCCAACACTCCCTTCAGGCTATAACAATGATCAGGAGCCAAGCTGGTGAGAATCAAATGTGAAAATTGAGTCTGCGTGTCGGAAGCTAGCTAGCCTCAAAAGTCCCAACTGCCTACTTTGTAGGCAAACCACACCTGACACCGAGACCCCAAATTTCATTAATATTTTCTGCCAAGTCTCCATTTCCCATTACTATTTGGAAGGTAATTGATTTCTAGAAGTGCAACTCGGGAGAGGGTTGCAGGGACTAGAGGGCTGGAGAGGGGGAAGCGACTTCGTAAGAGTCCCCTTGATCTGTCACAAAGGCAGATGGAAGACTCTCCAGCCACCTGGAGACACGACGGGGCTGCAGATGGACGCTCAGGTGAGTCACTCAGTCTTCAGAGGAGAAGCCATGCCTGTGCTGGCATCGGATTGTCAAAGGTAAAACAGAATCTAAAACGCAGATAATCTGAACAGCTCCAAATCAAATGTGATAGTTTATGAACTTTGAACCAGGCCCGCAGAAATGGCCTGGAGTGTACTAAATGTGGAGAAGATGCCTGCAAAGAGGAAAGAGCATCATGAGTTTTCCAGGTTATCTTCCTGTCAGTCCACTGATGGAATCAGTCACCTGCTGACGCACCCTGCAGCATTTTCTCTGTGCTGGACAGAGACTGGGGACCAAACTTCCGGGACGCTATCCTCAGGCGCATGCAGCTCCTGTTCTGGTGGATTGTTGAGGCACAGTAAGCAGAAAATAGCATTTCCATCTTCTGAAAGAAGAAATAAAATGGCACAGAGACTTGCTGATTTTCCCATGCAGTCTTTCCAACCCATGATGAAGCCTGTAAGCTGTTCTGAGAAACCTCCCCTCAGCCGTTGTGAGCAGCCTCCCCTCTGCCCTTAAACCCTGATCGTGGTCCCCGAGGAGCTGTAATTCATCCAGTAAAGGCATCGTTCTGAGCTCGGCACCTCCGGCCTGAATCACAGAGCTCTTGAAGCCCAGAAAATATTGAGGGCTTGAGTTTAATTCTGCACGTCTTCACAGTTCAAGATCATGTGACCCATGGTGGCGTGGAGGACAAGGCTGTTGGTCTAAGAACCAGGCGTAAACAAGACAAGGTACACATCCCTGGCACCAAGAGAACTAATTGTGAGGGTCAGGAATATTCTCAAGAACCCGGCACAGTGTCAGCCCTGGGGTGCTGGGTAGCTCATTCTGAAGCTTCCTGAGACTAAATGTCTCCGTCCTTCAAGCTTAATTCACGCGTTCATTTCACAGACACACCCCTTCTAGCACCCTGCTCTGAAAGAAACATCTATTACTTGACACAGAGGGAAAAATGGATGTCTCCTCCAATGTGATAATTCTGTTCTGTTCTATGAGTGACAATAGGAGAGTTAACCCTTGAAAACCCCTCAGCCCTGACCCTTCTGTGTAGAGTGCTGCTTCTGCATTTGGAAGAGATGGAGGTCTCTCTCTTCAAAGAATGACTATGGCAGTTCGTGAGTGGCTTTGTCCATTTCCTTTCCTGCACTGATTCTAAGGGGCACCCATGCAGCTGCCTGGATCTGACTGGTCCTGAGCTGCATTCTTATGCTTGGAGGAGGAAGGTGAGGAATCCAAGTTGGGGGGGAGTGAGCAGCTGCACTTGCTGCCGATGGCTTATTACAGGGCTGTATAATGCGATAGTTTCAAAGGCTGGTGCCTGATGGATTTGTCCTTTTCAAGTGTTCAGGAATTCATGTATAAATGTTTGGGAGGATTGTGAATGTCGTGCTGATGAATCTCAAGTGTTCTTGTTTTGGGGGAATAAATAAGATCATCTCTTCTTGCCTTGGTGAGCTCATCTTGTCTGTTGGCATTGTGTGGAATAAATGAGCAACACTTCCCTTCAAATTCCCTTATGCAGACCCAAATCTCTCTCTCTCTCTCTCTCTCTCTCTCTCTGCCCTACAGCCTATGTTTTAAGGAACCTCACCTAAGGATGAATTTTTAATTTTTTAAAGCTTCATCTATCTGGTAACTCTCCTCAAATATATTCTTTTTTTTTTTTCATGTGACCTGAAATTATTTTATTTAGTACAAGAGATATATTCTTTTTTAAAGAAAACAACAAGGCTAGAAGTGCAAAAGCTTTTCGTCCTGGTGCTAGGCATAAAACAGGCACTGAAACTCTCAGCTAACTGAGGTCCCGTCTTTGGTCAAAACCGTCCCTGCACCATGTACAATTGGATGTCTTATTCCTCATGGAGTGGGAGACGCCACAGGAATCTGGGGCAGGCCGTGAAGGATGGGAGATCACTTAATCAACAGACAGAAGGTGATTCTATCCTATCTTCTGATGTTTTAACAACATCGTAAACTTGAACGAGTCGCTTAAGTTTTTCAATCCTCCATGACTTCGTCTGTGACATGGGGACAATACTATGGCTTTGGAGACGTGTTGTGAGAACCAAATGGCCCAAGCACAAAAAGTGCTTAGCCAGTATCTAGGTTGTAGAACATACTCAGTAACTGAGCTCTCATTGTTACTTTTCAAAAAAATTAATTAATTTGTTTGAAAGGCAGAGTTACAGAGGCAGAGGCAGAGAGAGAGAGAGGTCTTCCATCTGCTGGTTCACTCCCCCAACAGCCACAATGGCTGGAGCTGCACCGATCTGAAGCCAGGAGCCAGGAGCTTCTTCTGGGTCTCCGACACAGGTGCAGGGGCCCAAGGAGTTGGGCCATCTTCGCCTGCTTTCCCAGGACATAGCAGAGAGCCGGATTAGAAGTGGAGCAGCCAGGATTCGAATCGGTGCCCATGTGAGGTGCCAGCACTGCAGGTGGCAGCTTTACCCACTACACCACAGTGCCAGCCCCCCGTTATTACTCTTGTTAGACTGTCAGAGATGTCTTCTGGTGGAGTAGAAAGATCACTGGCTTAGGGAACTGCATTTAAAATATCCTTAAGAAGGTACAGGTAGTCTTTAAAAAATTCATAGCCAAGTGTGTATCGTGAAAAAACTGCACGTGGGTTTCAGAAAATTTTTCACCAAATAAACTCTTTTCATTCCATATTCCACCAACTCTTGGAAGCCCTGTAGAGCTGTGCCCATCACTAATTACACATATGGTTTCTCCAATGCTGTTTAAATGGCACTGGAGTTAGATCCTCTTTCTCCGTGAAGATTGAAGAAATAGAAAGCCAAAGTCAAAGTTGGATGAGGAGTGAGTCGTTTTAAAGTAGGCGCAGGTGGCCTGGATGGGCTTTTTCTGGAAATGCTTGAGGCTGAGCTGGGGAAAGTGAATAGGAGCATTTTCCGAGGACAGATGTGCAGCAAGCGTCACCAGGAGAGATTGGATCATCTTTCTCCCGCGAAGCGCTTTTCTGTGAGGCACTGCAGATGAGCCACAAGCAGCCAGATCCATCACCTTGGCAGGATGGCTTTCCAAGGGCCCTCGAGCACGAACTGGAAGCCTAGATGGAAATCTCTGCTTGTCTGGGACAAATTCACAGAAAAAGAGAAGAAGCAAAACCAGTCCTCACAGAGTTTCAGCTTCTCATTAGGTCTGTACTGACCTCTCAAACGACTTTGGAGACAGGGGAGGAGAACAACGTTTCTACAGATTGGATGTTGATTTCTTTCTAATGTGTATCAATATACCTTTTTTTAAAAAAAAACCTAGAATGTTCAAGGAGTTCAAAGAGTTTCTGCAAAATGGAGTTAAAACATATTTATTTTGATGCAAAATTTTAAAAAAATTCGTGCATATTTTTTTCATAATAGACATTTCTCATGAACTTTTTGAAGATTTCTCATATGCATGGATTTAAAAATTGTTTGCATCTAAATAAACACCTTTTAATTCCATTTTTCATGAACTGTTAGAGGTAGTCTCATACACACAGAGCAACTGAGTTCTACATAACATTACGGTGCATACGATTTTGTGAGTTGATGGCAGACTACATACTCATTCATCAAAGGCAGTCTTTATTATTATTATTAGACAGTGACAGGAAAAAAAAAAACACAGGGAAGGAGAGAGAAAGAGAGAGAGAGCTCTTTTATCTGCTGGTTCACTCCTCAGACACCTGCAGCAGCCAGGGAAGGGCCAGG